CAATTTCATTTTTCATTAATGTTTTTTTTTCCGGGGTACAAGATAAAAAAAGGGTAAATTACACACCCCCTGAGGTATGCTTAAATAACTGTAAGGTCCCTGTGGTATCAATAATTACACTCAGCCCGTGAAATGTAGTCAGATACTCTAATGGGATAATGAATTGGATACGTTATTCCGATAGGGTTCTAACGGACTATTGGTTTCAGAAATTGGTGGAGACAACAAAGAGCTATGAGTGATCTAAGAAATGTTCGGGAATGTTCGGGGAGCCATGTCACCCCATAGCTCTTTATTGTCTTCACCACTTTCTGAACATGATAACTTGTATGAACTGTGTGTTCCTACTTGTGTGTCAAAAATCAGCAATGATGACTTCCAAAAATATAAGAAAAATTTCACTAATGATTCACATTTGGTCCAAGGTGGAGAATTGTTGGTTTTGGCTCAAATGTGTTTTGGGCCAGAAAGCCCAATTACTCTACTCTTTTATACACCACCATTTTGAGTTATGCCCAAGAATGAGTAAGTGAGCCCAAGTCCACATATGAGCTAAATCCATCCGTTGAATTTCTGGCTGAATGTGGACCGTTTATCCTCTCACTTAAATACTCTTTTCTCTCTCCTATTTTCTCTCATTCTGAAACCCTAGCCTTACCTCTTCTTCTCCTCCGCTCCTACTTCTGTCTTCTTCCTCCCTTGTACTGCCTTGACTGTTAATGGCTGGAGGTCAAAAAGCATGGTACATAGCTGACTTTGACCCTCCAGTACAGCCTTCACCGGCTCTATTTGACTTCAGTCCCTATAAATACTGGCATGGAGGTTGGAAGAGGGTAAGATACAGATAAACCCTAGACTTGACCTAAATCTCTCAGATTTTCTATTTGTGAGTTCTGAAATTGGGGTTTTGGTGAGTGTGTAAGCTTGAGTGCTTGATCTGTTCTTTCCTTCGTGGTATTCTGGGTAAACTAGGGTTTGTGTGTTGAGAGAGATAGAAGATTTGTTCTTCTTGAGGTACTCTGGTGATGTATACTGAAAGTGTGAATTTTTGGTGTGAAAATGAGAAGACTGAGCTGATATTCTTAATCTATTTATCTTTCGATTTATTCACCTTTTTATTTCTATCTTTCTGTTATATATATATATATATATATATATATATATATATATATATACTCCTTGGCAGTAATCAATACTGCAAAAGAGAAACTTATTTTTATCTAGGCTTTATGGAGCTTGGCAGTTTGATACAACGCAACAGAGCAACTCTCCCCTTTTTCCAATCAACGGGTTGATCCGATTAAGTTTCGGGTCGGAATATTGGATCTGGTTTCTTTTTCTTCCTTCTTTTTTAGGATTTCTCTTTCTTCCTTCTTTGTTTTGAACAGGAGAGAGAGAGAGAGAAGGCGCGTTTGCGCCGGTGACAGATTCGGTGGAGAGGGGGGCTGGGGTTTGACGGACTATACAAAATTACCATACTAGCCTTGTACTTAACAGCAAATGAGGAGTTGTGCTGGATTAAACAGTTATTTATCATTTTCTTTTAATTGAGGATATGTGCTGGAAATAACAATTGTTTTTCTCTAATAATAATTATATTTTTTTTCATGATCTAATAATTAACTTTAATGTATATTCATATTCTAAGTAGAACCTAAATTTCAATTTCTTTATGTGTTTCGGACACGTTTCATGTCCGATACTTGATGACATATATCGGACACTTTAGAGACCATTTTGCAATTTCTAAAAAGTTAAAATATATTTGGAAAACAAACTTCCATGTTTTTTTTGTTATTTTCCTAATTAATTACATGATTTATTGATAGACTACATATAGATATTTGATAATAATATTAATTTTGAATATAATTGTATGGAAATATACATAAAAACTTGTATGTGTTTATATAGCATATTTATAAATATACCTTATACTTTTAATATTTATATGTTTCGTCCAAGTTTTCGTATCTTAATTTTTCCGACATGCCGTTTCCTGTATGGTCGTTTCGATGTTCGTGCTAATAGTTGATATTAAATTACTAACATAGTGATTGTAATTTATCGGAGTTGGTCAAATTCAATTTTTATTTTTTTTAATCGAGATGGACATGGCAACAAGGATGAAGTCAATATAACTTATATAATATTTATTTTAAATGATATACTAAAACAATAATAGTTCTATTTAATTTCGGATTAATAAGTATAGATGTAAATGCTATAATGTCAAAAAGATGTTTTTAAAGATTTTACACACCACCTCCTTTTCTTTTCTTTTTTGTTTATTTACAAAAATAAGTCAAAACAAATAAAAATGTAAATCAATAGGAAAAATATATGGGTTGGAAAATTTTAAAATTAAAATTATTAAATATAATAATAATAATAATAATAATATAATAATAATAATATATAATAATATATAATATATAATATAATATATATATATATATATATATATATATATATA